GCAAGCGTGCCACTGCACTCCAGCCTGGGCAACAGAGTGAGACTCCAACTCAAAAAAAAAAAAAAAAAAAGAACAAAAGAAAATATGGAGTAATGGATAATGTTTATATTTTACAATAAGAACTTGAATAAGATGAATATCATAATAGTAATTTATTTGCTCATTTTTCCTTTTCTTGCTCAGGAAAACTCAATGTGAGTAGTGACACTGTCCAGCATGGTGTGGAAGGATTAACATATCTCCTCACCGAAAGCTCAAAGCTCATGGTAAGGGATTCTGTAGACTGTTCTGTATTGCCTGGATCCTTAAGAAAGGTTCAGTGTAGGCCGGGCTCGGTGGCTCAGCCTGTAATCCCAGCACTTTGGGTGGCCGAGGCGAGTGGATTACCTGAGCCCAAGGTTTCGAGACCCGCCTGGGCAACTTGGTGAGACCTCATCTCTAGCCAGGCGTGGTAGCGTGTACCTGTAGTTCCAGCTACTTGGAAGGCTGAGGTGAAAGGATTGCTGGAACCCAGTAGGTCGAGGCTGCGGTGGCCAGGAGAGTGCCACTGCACTCCAGTCTGGGTAAGAGTGAGACTCCAACTCAAAAAAAAAAAAGAAAGAAAGAAAGGTTCAGTGCACTGTGTATCATAATCCTATCAGGTACTTATGTGTTTTGGGAGTGTTGTTAATGGTTTATAGTTGATTTTGTGAAGACGTACCTAAATAATATAATTATAACATCATCTGCTAGTACGAATACCTCTTGCTCATATAACTAGCTAGTGTAGCATTGCCTCTCATTCTGCATGTTGTTAAACCATTTGCCATAGTATGTATCTTAGGAGGAGGGAGAGGGAGACGATTTATTTTCTTTGCATGTCAGCAATAGCTGACTTGAAGAAGAATAAGAGGAGAAAGTGAACATCTTTTTTTTTTTTTTGAGTTGGAGCCTCACTCTGTTGCCCAGACTGGAGTGCAGTGGCATGCTCCCAGCCACAGCAGCCTCAACTTGCTGGGCTCAGGCGATCCTTCCGCCTCAGCCTTACAAGTAGCCGGAACTACAGGTGTGCACTACCACATCTGACTAATTTTTGACTTATTGTAGAGACAGTGTCTCGCCAAGTTGCCCCGGTGGGTCTCGAACCTGCGGGCTCCAGCAGTCCACTCGTCTCTGCCTCCCAAAGTGTTGGAATTACAGGCTGGGCCACCAAGCCCTGCCGAAAGTGGACATCTTAACAATTCTTCCTGTTTCATACTTTAATAAAGTATTTTTATGTATCATTAACTCAGATTATGGAATAGTGGGCAGTTGTTCTCTTTAACTGTAAGGAATGTTTCTTTTATTAGACGGAATGAATTAGGGGATATTATATTCTTTTGTATATATCAGATATTTTAGCATTGACTAGACAAAGATAAATTTTGATGCTCTTTTTAAACCCAATTCACTTTTAGATTTCTGAACTGGATTTCCAAGACTCTGTTTTTGTTTTGGGATTCTCTGAAGAATTGAACAAATTGTTGCTTCAGCTTTATCTGGACAACAGAAAGGAAATCAGAACTATTCTGAATGAATTGGCACCTAACCTTCCCAGTTACCACAGCCTTGAATGGCGGCTAGATGTACAAGTATGGCTTTTGTTTTTTTAATCTGAGATAGAATATAAGAATTATTTTAAGTTTATGTCCTGTTTGTTGTATTCTTGTTTGTTTGTTTGTTTTTTTGAGTTGGAGTCTCACTCTGTCACCCAGATTGGAGTGCAGTGGCCGCTCCCGGCCACCGCAGCCTCGACCTGCTGGGTTCCAGCGATTCTTCCGCCTCAGCCTTCCAAATAGCTGGAACTACAGGCGCGTGCTACCACACCTGGCTAATTTTTTTGATTTATTGTAGAGAGGCGGTCTTGCCAAGTTGCCCAGGTGGGTCTCGAACCCGCGAGCTTAGGCAATCCACTCACCTCAGCCTCCCAAAGCGCGGGATTATAGGCTGCGCCACCGAGCCCAGCTTGTTGTATTCTTTATTACCTTAACCAAGCTCTGGTTTGAATGTTTGGGTTTTTTGTTTTTGAGTTACAGTCTCACTCCATCACCCAGACTGGAGTGCATGGCATGGTCATGGCCGCCACAGCCTTGACGTGCTGGGTTCAGGCAATCCATCTGCCTCAACCATCCAAGTAGCTGGAATCACAGATGCACACCACCATACCCAGCTAACTTTTTCTTTTGGTTTATTGTAAATGTGAGGTCTTGCCAAGTTGCCCAGGCTGGTCTCGAACCCCTGGGTTCAGGCAATCCTCTCACCTTGGCCTCCCAAAGTGCTGGGATTATAGGCTTGAGCCACTGCACCCAGCACAATTTTGATTTTCATTTTCTTTTATGCTTAATGTGTTCAAATCAGTTTAATTTGCAAAGTGTGTAAGAAATTGATTATCTTGGCCGGGTGTGGTGGCTCATGCCTATACTCTCCGGACTTTGGGAGCCTGAGATGAGAGGAGTGCCTGAGTCTACGGTTTTGAGACCAGCCTGGGCAACTTGGCAAGACCTCATCTCTACAATAAATTAAAAAACTTAGCCAAATGTGGTAGCACAGGCCTGTAGTTCCAGCTACTTGGAAGGCTTAGGTGGCAGGATCGCCTGAGCCCAGCAGGTCGAGACTGCAGTGACTGTGAGTGTGCCACTGCACTCCAACAACAGAGTGAGACCCCAATTCAAAAAAGAAAAGAAAGAAAGAAATTGGTTATTTTAGAAAAGGTGATGATATTATGCAGGGTCTTTTAGGTGGTACTTAAGTTTCTTAAAGCTTTTCTGTTTAAATATAACAGATATTTAAAAATGCACAGTTCAATGAATTATCACACAGTGAAAAAACATCCGTGAAACTGACATTTAACCATGACCCGTACCCCAGAAGCATCCTTCTTTCCTCCTACCAATTGCTGCCCCTTCCTTTGTTTCCAGAAGTAACCAGCATCCTGACTCTGAACACAGATTACCTTTGCCTGCTTTTAAACTTTCTGCATATGGAATGATTCAGTAAATATTCTTTTGTGTCTGACTTCTTCTACACAATATTAGTTTTGTGAGATTCATCTTTCAGTTTTTTTAAAGCCACATAAATAAACAAAAGGGAGTTTTCAAACCATTGCATATAGCCCTTTATTAAGCAATAAGATGAGTTTGTAGATGTGTATTGAATGCCATTCATTTGCTGATTAGAAGAGCTGTGCTAAATGCTTTGTAAGATACTTTCTCAGCTGGGAAAGATGTTATCATCTTGGTTGGGGATATTAGTGTTCTCAAAATAACTAGCAATTAAAGGTAGTTGTAGCTGGGCACAGTGGCTCACACCTATAATCCCAGCACTTTGGGAAGCAGAGGTGAGAGGATTACCTGAGACCAGACTGGGCAACTTGGTGATATGATAAATAAAAAATTAGCCAGGCGCGGTGGCATATGCCTGTTGTCCCAGGTATTTGGAAGGCTAAGGTGGAAGGTTCACCTCAGTCCAGTAGGACGAGGCTATATTTGAGCGTGCCACTGCCCTCTAGCCTGGGTGATACAGTGAGACACTGACTCAAAAAAAAATAAAAATAGTTATAAGATAAGGTTCTTTGGTGGGGGGGAGAATATAATTGCATAAATGAAGATACCAACTGAATATTTCAAAACAGTGCACAGGTAGTTGTGTGTGTATGCTGGCATGGTCCAGAAAAGCTTCAGCAAAAAGGGGAAACTTCAGAAGGATGAATGGAGAAAATCTGGGTAAATATTATTGGCAAAGGAGCCAATGTAAGTTGTAAAGGCCCACACGGATATGGGAATGAGCATATGACTAGTGGCACAGTGTACTAGTTCTCAAAGTTGACTACACATTGGAATAACCTGGGGAGCTTTAAAAAATTCTGATGTTTGTGTTCAACACCCAGATATTCAGCTTTATTGGCCTGGGCATTAGGATTTTTAAACGCTCCTTTTCACTCAAGTAATTTTTATGTGCAATAAAGTTTGTGTACCACTGTTATAGTGGATTCTTCCTGATTTGAATGGAGGTAAGGTAGTCAAAATAGGTTATAGAAATTCGATTAAAGGAGTTTAGACCTGACACAACAGACAATAGGAAGCCCTGTCGAATTTTGGATAAGAAGAGTAACATTAAAACAATAATTTAGGAAGACTTACCTAGCATCCTCAGGCAGACCAGAATGAAAGTGGGGATTTGTATGAGGAAATACAAATTCCTTTATACATTTTCCCCTCTTTTTATGAAATGCTTTTTCTACTTTACCACTACCTCTTGACTTTCCTCTTTCTTATCCTCTTAAGTTTCAGTTTAAATCAGAGCTCAGTAAACTATGGCTTCTTGATCAGATCTGACTTGCTACATGTTTCTGTAAATAAAGTAGTATTGGGACACACACAACCATGCTCCTTTGCTTACATATTGCCCATGGCTGTATTTGAAATACAAGGGCAGAATTGAGTAGATGTTACAGATACTGTATGGTCTGCAAAGCCTAAAATATTTATCTGGCTCTTTACAGAAAAAGCTTGCTGACCTCTGCTTTAAGTGGTGCCTCCCTCTGGGAAAAATGCCCTGTGCCACTAGACACAGTTAAATCTTGGTGACATTTGTGTTTTTCTTCTCATGGCACCTGTGCTTCCTTTTCTGGCAAGTTCTCTTCTTCATACATACCTATTTTCCTGAGTACACTGGAATAGGAGGGACCGTGCATATCTTATATATTTTCTTTCTTCAAAGCCTCAGTATCTCCTCAGTGCTCCACACCCTTAGCTGTTGACGTTACTTCCTGATGGACAAGAAAAGAGAAGCAGTCAAAAGAGAATTCTAGTCTGCTCCTCTCACCACATCTGCCAGCCTGCTTGTATCAGTACCCACTTGCTGTGTCTTCTCTCCTGTTGCTGTTGCCTCTTCCCATATCTGTAGGCAGCCCCTTCTTTTGTGTACTTCAGTCCATCCCCATCCCATTTCCTCTCATGAGGACATAGTTCCAACAATTGTTTTGTCTCTTTCCTGCATCATGCTTTTTTTGGGGGTGGGGGAGCTTATACTGAATCATTCCCTTCAACACACAGTGAGAAACCTAGTCTTGACTCCATATATCCTTCCTACCGCCTCTCCATTTTTTTGCTTTCATTTATCCTAAGACTTCTTGTGAGGGCTGTCTCTCTATCTATATGTTCTCTCTTCCCATTCTTTTTTTCTTTCTTTTTTTTGGGTTGGAGTCTCACTCTGCCGCCCAGAGTGGAATGCAGTAGCACACTCATGGCTACTGCAGCCTCGGCCTACTGGATTCAGGCAATCCTTCTGCCCCAGCCTTCCAAATATTTGGAACCACAGATATGCTGGACCACCACACCAGGCTAGTTTTTTTATTTATTATACTGATGAGGTCTTGCCAAGTTACCCAGGCTAGTCTGGAACCCCTGGGCTCAGGCCTCCTATCACCTTAGCTGGGATTATAATCGTGAGCCACTCACCTGCCCCTATTCTTGAATACACTCTAATCAGGCTTCATCATCAATATACTACTGTCATAACTTAATCAGGGTCATCACTTTTTAGTCTTTATACCATTCTGTTTACTAACAGCATTTATCCAGTTAATCCCTCCTTCCTCCTTGAAATACTTTTTCAGTTGCCTTCTGGGAATAACTTATTGTGGTTCTCATCCAGCCTCACAGGCCCTTCCTTCTCAGTCTCCTTGGCAGATTCTGTCTCGCCATATTACCCTTTACACTTTGGGGTATCCCAAAGGTCAGTTCCCAATCTTCATACTTATACCACTTATATTCCCAAGCTGATCTCATTTAATTTGATGACTTTAAGTGCTCCCTGTATTC